GCACAAATGACCTCTCGCCATGTATATTTCCGCTCGCGAGTCCCGTTCACACGCGCGCTGTGGACCCAATGCGCGTGCACGGGTTGTGGCACGCTTTAAACGCCATACATAAGACTGGCTTTACAGGAGGGTGTTTAGATTTTTTATGAACCGTAAAAACTTCCCGTTAAATGTGTCTTATCGACCATTGATAGATTTAATTTAATAACATGATTGAATCAACACGGTGCTAGATTTTTCCTGTATGCTATTTCTATGCAAATCTTGTTTGAAATGTAAACATCAACTCAGCCCCTACAGACCATAATGCTGATCGTAGTATGTTATTTTACTCAACAGTAAGGCTGTTTTGTAACTATTTCAACATTTGAGCTATTACCATCATTTATTTTCTGTTTGGGTTATAAGGTTTAATAAATCTGAGTGACTTCCTTTTGATTAATTTAGATCCTGTAAATGTGTGAGAACCCTACCTCCACAGGAGGGGGTGGTGTAACTGATAAAGTTTTGATTACCTTACAAGGTGGAGATGGGCTGGTTCATTTAAATTAGAATGCCTTTTGCCTGAATGCAAATGTGTGAGCCTAAGCAGCTAAATCAAGGCTAGACTAGAAGACTCTAGGGTCCTTTTGTGAAAAACCTCTTTGAAGCCTCTGTGACGTGATTGTGTAAACTCCGCCTTAGTGTGATAGAATCTCTGATTAACTCCTTTTGAGACAAGCTAGTTTTAAAGAATTTGGATGTGTTTTATTTTGTTTGTGAAAATTTAGGACAGACCATATGCTATTTTCATGCTAAACCAGACATCAATGTTTATTAATTTAAACAATTAGGCAGCACAACTTTTGGGTACACTGTTTTCCTAAATGCAAATTGTTCCCTAGGCAAGACAGGCTGGGAGACTCCTTGATTTGTGTCCTGCTGTGATGTGATGATGGGAACTCGATTAACAGGTGATAAAGATCAGTGGCTGGCTGCATTGGTTCCTGCAGAAAACATCAGAGGACACAGATCGGGGACAAGACGCTTTGTGCCCCATTGACCCTCAACAACCAGGAAGGTATTGTGATTGCAACACAAGATGGTTTGCTATGTCCTGTCCTGATACTCTCCGAATGCAGGAATGGCTCAGACTCAGGAGAAGAGTGTCGATGAAAAGACTTCAGAGGATCTGAGTTCCTTTGAGCAAGCAGCTGTGGAAGTTGAACGCATGTCTAACAGAATGCAAATTGGTCTGTGCCTGTGGCATCCTGCTGTGGGTCTTTGAAACGTTTGTGACTTGTAGGTGTGTTGAAAAGGAGGTGGAGCCCACAATCCAAGATGGAGGAAGCACGAAAGACGTGGCTAACTGCTGACTTGCAGTCCAAGACGGAAGTGATACAAACCACCGTCACCGGCTGAGCTAATGTTAAACCACAAACCAAGTGGATCAGTTAGCCCAAACCGGTACCAACCTGTAAGCTGATGTAAAACCACAAAACCCGCTGTGGGCCAGTCAGCTCTCTCAGGAAGTGACCTGCGTCGACACGTCAGCGGGACGACGCAAAGCTGAGAGCACAGTGTGACCGAGATATCACACCTGAACTGGAGATGAGGTGCAGAGGTCAAACAACAACTTCAGGAGGGAACCAGAACTGCAGGTCAGCCAGCCACAGAAAACTCAAAACCTGTGACACCTGTTCAGTCCTACAAGCGATCGATTGCAGCACAGGAGGTAACGACTGATGTGGAGCAGAAGATCCACAAGTGTTTGATGACAAATGATATGGGTTACTTTAATAAAGCTAGGAATTCAAGATTATTATGTAGGTTTTGGTGTCTAGATTATTCATTCCTAATTCCAGGTTTTAACTCTTGCTCTGGGTTTTGTTGACAGGATAATCATTGCTCAAAGGTAGCATTCAGGGGGGATAAGTTAATGAAGCTAGAAATACAGGATAAAATTGGGTTTGGTGTCTGGTTTAATGTTGAACTAAAATCCGATTGATTAATTGGTCATTTCAAATTCCAGGTTAGGTGTGTCCTAATTTCATGTTAATGTTGTTTTATTGGTTTAATCTTTTATTGCTCAAAAAGTCACATCAGGAGGGAATGTTGGGTATTTTTATAAAAATGTACCTTTTTGAGACCTAAAAGATGCCCATTACACATCATGAATCTCTGTGTTGGTATGTTCATAAAAAGGTTGAGCAAAGATGTTAATTGAGAGAACTCTGTAACTCTGTAACTTGAGAAGGTCCGCCTTCTCCCCCCATCCATTTGGTGAATAAAACCACTGAAGACTCTTGAGGAAGGGGGAGTCGCCTGGCAGCTAGCTCTGGAGAGAGTTATGTGTCATGGTGATCTCCCCCCCATTTGGCTAATTCAGTGTAAAATGTCTTCCTTGTCATCATGTGTGTTTATTTCAGGTTCCAGGGTTATGGAGGTTAAATATTATCTAACAGATAATTGGAGAATGCAGGTATGCAAAGCTGGTAAGAGCAGAAGGCTGAGGCTGGAGCAGAATGGGGCCTGGTTGAGCCACACACATGGACATTACAAATAATCAATTTACTCTCTCTCTCTCTCCCCGGGTGTGTCGTCCTTTAAGGTAATATGGGATAAAATCAAATTACCTAACACCAACCAACCAACAAATCCACCCTATACCCGCAAAACTAACCAGCCCTATACACGTAAAACTAACCTGCTCTATAAACGTAAAAGTAACCAGCCCTATACACGTAAAACTGACCAGCCCTATACACGTAAAACTGACAAGCCCTATACATGTAAAGGAGACATAACATGCTTTTAAGTTATTCCTTTTTACATCTAAATCCTTCAGTTGGGGTCTAAATACAGTAGAACTGCAGTTCTTTGGTCTGATTTCCTCATTATTGTTGCTCTACAGACCCTCATCTACCCCTGTTCTGAGGAGAGTCTTGAGAACGAGCCGTTTTTGGGTACTGTCTCTTTAAACTGGAGGAGGAGCTGTAAACTCTGCCCCCCCTCCATAGTGCAGACCTGTACTCTCCTCCCCCAGTCGGACTTTGTAGTTCTATAGAGAAATCATTATTTAGCATAGCAGATTTAGCATAGCATATTAGCATTTTTAAAACATGTGGAGAGAGTAGTTCATCAAGCTGTTTCATGGCTGCTAACTCTCTCATGCATTTGTCTGTTGTCACTCACACAGACCCGGTGTCGGTACAGTATCTGCTCGGGTGCAAGATCGGCTCGGGGTCCTTCGACTGCCGATGACGTCAAAGTACGGCAAACCGACTCGGACAAAATACACTACACGTCTAGATACTGTTGGAAAGAATTTAGCACTTTCGTTATTAAAATAATGTTTCTTAAGATGTAAGTTTGTGTTTATAATGGTATTTGTAAAATAAAACACTATATCTTATTCATAATGTTGAACTCCTCTTTGAGCACATCCCTTGAAGAATCATAGGTATTAGAAACACCTGTGAAATTTGCAGGAAAGAAGTGTGTCCCGTTTATTTAAGTATTTTGTGTTTAGAGTTTTTGACATCTTGTCATAGACTGTAGCTGCTAGCCAAAACTCTGGAGTTAAAAGTTTTCTGGCTTTACTATTAGACTCCAAATGTAATCATTTGGCACGTTTGTAATTCATTATTTGCAATAATGTAATCGGCGATATTAGCATTAGCATTCCTATGGGTTTTTCCATGTATATTAGCATTGCGCTAACCACTCGCTGCCAAATTGCAGCCTTTGAGATTAGAAAATCTCCTGGCTTTACTAAAATACCTGTCTGTACTTATTTGATTGATGGTATTTTTACTTTCTATTAGACTCCAAATGTAATTATTTGGCACGTTTCTAATTCATAATTTGTAATAATGTAATCTGCGATATTAGCATTAGCATTCCTATGGGTTTTTCCATGTATATTAGCATTGCGCTAACCACTCGCTGCCAAATTGCAGCCTTTGCCATTAGAAAATCTTCTTTTGTCACATCGCAATTTTATTGCACATGCAGTTAATCGTTCAGCCCTATTATACTTGCAGCTCTATGCTAAAAGTGTATTTTCAAAGAGGTAATGATGGATTTCTTTGTAAAAGTTGTCCATCTTTCCAATAGAAAAAAATTTGCCTGGACCAACGTCACGTGATAACAACGTTACGTGATTACGTAATTCCGTAAGGTTCATGTTCAGCCAATCAACTACTTAGACGTCATCGGCAGTCGACGGACCCGAGCCGATCTTGCACCCGAGCAGATCTTGTACCGACACCGTCACGGCCGACGGAGGGACAAGCGAGCAGGCACACGCGCGCGCACACACACACACACACACACACACACAAGGAATGCTGCTTGCTTATTTCTATAAAAAATGTTTAAAAAAATGATACAGCTCATTAAAACACCATTAAAAGAATATATTTTATTAAGATCTCTATCTATATACATACATATAATTATAAATAATTTTATAAGTAGTCTTATTTTATATTGGGTGTCTTAAAGGCTGAAAATGGATAAAAAGCAGTTACATTTTAATTTAAAGATTTGAGATTCTAGTCAAAAATAAAGAACATTCCTCCAAATGTTCTTTAATGTGATCATTATAATTCTAATGCTTACAACTTTGTTTTTATTGTCTGCAATGTTTAGCCTATATCTTTATTAAATGTGTTTAGCTGTAAAGTGGTAATTCTCTCTAATGTGTACAGAGAGGTGGACATCAGTGCTGCAGTGAAATTCCCAAGATCAGTCTGCTTTGCTAACAAATATAGTTAAATCTTACCTGCATTCTAAATAAATACTGTTAGGTTAAAACATCAGTAGGCATTGAGTTATTGATAAAATCCCTAACAGCCAGAATGGAAGAAGAGCATGCTGGGTCATCCTGGATCTGAGCCTGTTACCTACAGGATGCAATAAATGTCTACAAGGCTGAGTTTGGACCATTACATCTAAAAGAAAACATACAATCAGTGATTTTTTTTATTGTTTACATTAATATACAAATTTTTCTAAGTATTAACCTCACAGCAAATAAGTAGAACAATATAATAAACAGGCTTTAGTAGTTAAACAGGCGTTGTGCACACAGGTGCTTTGTGTCTCGGTGCTGGTGGTATCTAGGTCACAGAGTTCCTGTCCTCCTGCCGTCTTCTGTTGTCCTCAGGAAACGGATTGATGTTTCCTGATGATGAGGGAGGGGCAGTATGTGGGCTTCAAACTGGTCCTGGATAACAGTGGGAGACCTCCGTTGTCTGAATACTGAGACCAGAGGGTTGGTGAGATGCAGATCTTCTCTACCTCATCTAGAAACGGAGTTGGTTCAGGGAAAACTTTTCCAAAGACCAGTTCCATGATGTCATCGCCATATTCTGCAATGATAGACAATAACTTTAATGACGTATTTTGTTTACAAGCAGCTTTAGGAAAGTTGTTTCTTTAGCTTTCATGTTTATAGTCAAGTTTGTGTTTGTTCACAAGTTCACTTTGCTGCAGTGACTTCATATTCTTACAAATGTAATAAAATAGTGACACTAAAATTATACAAATGACTCCTTATGAAAGGAAGCTCATTAGAGAGCAGTGCAGACAGACTTACTACATGCTGCAGCTGTTTTTGTAGGCCAGCTGCTGCTGAATTTGGGGAAAGTTATTCTGCACACATCCAGATCAGATGGTCGATTACAGAAAATAATGTAATTCAATAATTTCTAAACAGACTAAACAAGTAAAACATCAAATAAATCACTCTGCTGTCATCAGACGGAGTGATTCAGGGGTGAGGTGTTCTTAATGATGAGGGTGGCTGAGGTGTGTCATCACTCACTTTGGTCTGGTCCAGCTACCATCTCTTTACTGGTGAGCCTCCTTCCTCAGTAGGTGACGTGAAACGCCAACATCTGAACGTTCTGTGTTCCTTAGAGGAGAAGAAAAGTAACATTTGCCAGCTGGCTACATTATTTTTTACTAGCATCTCAAGGACTTGGAGAAGCCGATCTTCACTTACCTAAACATCAGACCAGTTTGTCCCTGCTGAGCTCATCAGGGCGTTAGTCTGACAGCCTGTCAGTGAAACACGGCTCCAGACTTCTGGATGTTGACTCTAAAAAGCAAAGGAGCATTTTTACTTTTGTTTTAATTATTTTACAGCCGATTTTATCAGCTTTCCGACGCTCACGCTCATACAGACGGTGAGCTTTGCTGCGTCTGACTGATGCAGAGTTAGTTTTTATATCTGCAGTGAGACAAAAAAACTAACCTCACTCCACTCAGAGATCGTTCTTTAAAACTCTATTAAATCCACTGTGTTGACGCACTTTAATGACTTTGTCACGCTGCATTTTAGCTGATATGGGACTTTATTTGCTGGATGCTAAGATTACATCACACTCACGTAGAATAACACACAGGCTCTCTGCTGTTACAATCAGTGGGAGGTTATCATCTGGTGTAAAAGAAGGCGTTGATCAGAAATCACGTTTTATTCCACGAAAATCAGCCAAATCCACATTAATCTAGGTGCTAACTTTACTAGCATACTGTGCTAGCGATAGCAAGCCGGATGCTAACGCTTTAGTGCTGCTAATGCCCATTAATCTAAAGTAAAGTTTGTCGACATTTTAGAGTTATATGAAGCTTACCGCTCTGCTGCTGTGTCCCGGTGCTGCCAAATTCAGATGGAGCCCTCAGTACTTAGCCACTAGCCTGGAGACAGAACGAACGAACCACGCACGCACGCACACACACACACACACACACACACACACACACACACACAAACAAACACAAACACACTACTTTTTCTTCTGTGTTTTTTTAGCAGTAGTGTCATCAGCTCCTGGGTTTAAATACTGCCACACCACCCTTCCTTAAAACGAGGAACAGTTTTGAGCTGTGTGTGGCTAAAATAACCAGACATTCTGCATTTTTCCAATAGGACTACAAAAAATCTTAGCGAGAAGAAAAAATGGCAGATTGGCTCTTTGTTTAGCCGAGGGCCATTACCATATTTGGTAGTTATCCTGACGAAATAAATTACTGATGTAATAGATAATGTGAAAAACTGAACGGGTGGACAAATATGCCCAAAACTTAATTATTAAATATCTAAATAGCAACTCCAGTGAATAATATAAGCCTTTTTGCTCACTTAGACACTTAAAATGTGAAACACACTGTGTTAATGGATAAAAAAGTGGGTTTTTCATGTTATGTCTCCTTTAAAACATAATGAAAGTGAACACCCCCCCCCCCCCTTTTCATTTTTTTCTAAGCAGAGTATCCATGAGAAAGGCTCCTGTTTCTGCTCATTACACTGTAAAAATAAAACCTAAGATCCAGTGGACTCTTGAAATCTATTACAGTTCAAAACAACATCCCCCTAACTGTACCAGACCGATTAATTTTACAGATCTGGCATCGAGGGCTTAGGTGTTTGTTGTCACGCAGCAGAAGGAGTTTTACACTGCTCAGAGCCAGAAGGTTTACTTCATGTTAAAGTGTTTCTCTTTTAAGAGACAACAGAGCAATCGGAGTTGGAGAATCCCAGGCTCACATTTACATTTGCACAAAAGAATTAATGCGACACATTTCACACTGGTTAAATTCATTCTTTTGTGAGTGTTTAATAAAATGCAGTGAGGACACTTTTCTCCTTTCAAATTGAAAAAATAAGGTGAGAATAATGTCTCAGGCACATGAATACATTCAGCTTTGGTGCTGACATTTTGTTGTAACGCTGCCTGTTGCCCTTTTTACACACCGTGCTGGCAAATCAGCGTAATATTACAACAAGGGTGTGTCTTATGAACACGCCATGCTGGCATGACGTTGCGCGGAAATTTCTGCATTTGTTCCACCTTGCTCGGTAGTAATATTGCGGTAATTGTCTGTCTTATAATCGGCGATTGTACCTTGGTGCAACAAAGGATGGGGTCATGATCACGTGGAGAGTAACGGGCCATTCCCATCTGTACCGGGTCGGCCCGGGCTGGGTAGCGTAGGTTGTTTACATATCTGGGTGGCCTGGTATTTTTCCGGGCCAACCAAGGCTCATTCTCAGCCCTCTTCTCGAGGGGGTCTGCTTCAGGCCGACCAGGGCCAACACACCCACTGCTGACAGCAAATTCCCACCTTCCATTAGAGCAGGGGTGGGCAATTATTTTTTCCATGGGGCCACATGAGAAATAGAAAATATTGTGGAGGGCCAGGCCAAAAGGCTGAAGTCAATTATGCATAATATTAGTGGTATTTCTTTATAAAAAGCAGTAAATACCATTGTTTTTTCAAGCTGGTAAGAGTAGACTATATGTTATAAATGAGCAAAAAGGAAAAAGTGAGGTTGGCTTACAAAAATTTGATTTATTCAAATTTCCCAAGGCAATGGTAAACAAAGTGCGCATTTGGTTTTTGTTAAACATTTGTGACTTATATTAGTTAACAGTTTTAGTCACATTCACTCCAAAACACATTTTGAGTTTCAAATATTGTTGGAAAGAGGTTCTTAGCGTTCTACAGACACACAGTATTGTCTGTAAAATAAAATCACTGAACTGTGATCTTGAGAAAGAGGTTTAAAAAAAAGTGTCCCAGTTCACTGCTAGTTGCCTACATTTGTGGTCCAAACACCTTATTTTGTGTTTTTAAGTGATTTTTTTCTTATTCAATGAGAGAAATCTAGTCTCTGCTGGGCTTTAACGAGTGCATCAGTCAGGTTGAATGTCTGAGGTGGAGATGCGAAGCACAGCTGACAAATGATCATCAGTGAGAGAGGATCTTTACCTGGATTTTGTAAACTTCATCATTGAAAATGTTTGTTCACAAATGTAGGTAGAGCCGAAGAAAACCAACATCTTCTGAGCATGTCTCTTCAGGTTTGGAAAGTGCTCCTCCTTAAGAGAAGAGTAGAAATCCAGCAGAGATCCTGAATCTCTGCTTTCAAGTCCCAAACCCTCTTCAGCACTTTCCCCAGGCTGAGCCATCTGACAGCTGTGTGGAGTCCTCCTAAAGAGCGACAAACTGTCTGTGATCCATTGTCCGCGCCCTGATGAAGTTTATTATTTTAGTAACAACATCAGTAACATGGTTGATTTTTAGCACTGACTTGCAAAACACATGTTGGTGTATAATTCAATGCAAAAAACACCAATTTTTGATCTGCATCGATTTCTGTCACTTTATCTTGCATATGTTTCAAAAGTCCGACATTTTTCCCTGTAAGATTTGGACAACCGTCTGTTGTGACACCTGACTGTCTCTCCCATTTCAATCCCAGAGTGTCCGTGCACGCATTTACCTCTGTAAAAAGATCACTCCCTGTCTTTGTCCCTTTCATCGGCCGCATTGCTGCCCGCTCCTCTGTGAGCTCCGTTATCCCCCGGACAAATACGAGCAGCTGGGCTGTGTCGCGGACATCACAGCTCTCGTCTAATGAGAAAAAGTCAAAACTTGCCACTTCACGTTGCAGCTGAAGCTCCAGGTTCCCCGCAATGTCCTCGATCCTCCTGGTCACGGTTCGCCTGGACAGCGGGATTTGCTCAAATGCGCCTTTTTTTCAGGGCATATTAGTGCGGCAGAGTCCACCATGCACTCTTTGACAAACTCTCCCTCTGAAAACGGCTTGCTGTCTTTAGCTGTTTTGTGGGATATCACAAAGCTGGTCCTGGTTGCTGCATCCCTGGATGTGTGAAGCTTAGTAAAACAGCCTTGCTGCTTTTGCAACTTTGCTAGCAAAGCTTCGGATGTCCGTGCCCTCTCAGCATCAGATGAGTTCTTGTATTTTTCCGAGTGTTTCTTGTCGTAATGCCGACTCAAATTGTAGTCCTTAAACACGGCAATCTCCTCCCCGCAAACCAAACACACGGCTTTACCTCCGAATTCAGTAAAAAAAATACTTAGCAGTCCAATTTTTGTTGAAAATCCTGCATTCGGCATCTTTCTTTTTTTTTTTTTTTTTTTTTGCATGAGCGGACATTTCTCGGGCTACAATCACCCTGTCAACCGCGGGCACTTGTTGCTATACGTATTGCGTCATTGTGCACGTAAAAAACAACTTCAAAATAAAAGCAATGCAGCCTTAGCCCATGCATGAGGTAAAATGAGAAAATACATTTATTTTGTAATTTCCAATTAACCTTACGCGGGCCGGTCAAAGTCAACCAAAGGGCCGTATGTGGCCCGCGGGCCGTAAAATGCCCAGGTCTGCATTAGAGCAAGCCTCTGATTGGTGGGTAGAATCAGCCCACATGGGCTTAAGACAAGGATTTGTGGAATCAACCGGGCCAGGCTGGGGCCGACTGGGGCTACCCGGCCCGGGCCGACCCGGTACAGAAGGGAATGGACCATTACTGCCGAGCCCCGGGCGGCAACTAAAATGAAAGTAAAAACAGGCCTAAGTTTTGTTTTTGTGAACAGAATCAGCTGAGATGATAATCTGGAGCGATGCAGCGCTCCTGGAGCTTCTCTCTGTTAGAGCTGGAGGTCAGATCACCAGTGACTGCATGGACTGTGGGGGACAGACACCTTAAGGAGCGGCTTGTTAAAAAGAACAAAAAAAACCTAATGAGTGTGGCTTCGATCGCAATAAAACCCAAGTTATGTCCAAGTTAAGCGGAAGTCTGCAGCAGTGCAGAGACCGCCCCCATACCCCGTTTATGCCTTTTGTAAAAAGGACCCAATTGCACCACATCACCACCACAGCATGACCAATTATAAACAACCTAAAGCTAACCCGTGCATTAGAGGTGAAAGTGTTCCATACTAGATGTGTTTTTATTGTTTTATACATAATGGGGCTTTTTTGTATGTACCAGCATTTATTAGTCACTAGATCGTGTTTGAACAAACCGATTTGAACCCATTTGCCTTTACATCCATGAGTTATGAGCCTTTTTGCCTCCCACACTTGTGCCGTGGATCACCAGGACTAGGGATGTGTATGGCGATACGATAAGTATCACAATACAGGGAAAGGATACAATGTATCACGATATATTGCCATAAATTCAGTCGATATTAGCGATTCTTTAGACTGATTTTTCCATAGGAATATTCGATAAACAGTCCAAACTGATATGTAACATGTTTAACATCAGGTATCTGAACCATAACAGAGGGATTTACATATTAATGGTGGAAACAAACCCCATCGCACACTGCTGCCATTTAGCGGTTGGTGTTTGAATTGCACCAAAAGAAAAGAAAATACATAAATGCATGTAAATTTTTCCAAAAAATTAGATACACGGCTTTTGAATATAGATATATCGCTTGAAAATTTATAATGACATATTGCCATAACGACATTTTCTTACATCCCTAACCAGGACCAAAAAACCTTTTCACAGTCTGAATTTGGAAAGAATCAGGAAGTTAGTTTGCTTGGGTATTGAGACTGTTTCATCTGTTCCTTTGCTCCTTGTTTCCTTATGAAAACTGCTTTTACAAAAAATAAAAAAAATACAATTTGAAATGTAGGATTTCCCATTTCTGTATTATTTTGGATTTTATTGGAGTCTGCGCTCACACAGTCAGCCAC